CAGCAATCACATCGCTCGAGCATGCCATCAGTCTCGTCGAGGACGACCTAGACCCCCAGCAAAGTCTGCTAGCTGCATACCACTTCGGCACCCCGTCTACGGGCAAATACCTCTCACAATTCGTCAACGCCGACGCGTCATTCACGAACAACATCCCCTTCCGTCTGCTTCTAGGCCCGGCTGCTCCGTCTTTCCAGCCTATCGATGTAGAGAAGCGGTACACAGCCCAGCATTTCACCCGCATCTCGCCCGCATATATCGCAGCGCCTGCTTCGCAAGCGACAATGTCGAAGGTCCTTTCGGGTAAGGATTCGAAGAAGGCGGCGGCTGAGCTCCTTAGCAACGCGACACAAGAGATTAAAGAGAAGAAGCGCGCTGAGTCGATCGCGATTGGCTACTTTGAGCAAGGTATCTTCATTGGCTTGGGTGTATACGGTATTCCTATCTTGACATGTATTGGCTCGGCCCTTTTCTTTGGTGTGAGGGCGGGATTGAGGAGGTGGGCGTTTGTTTGAGATTGGGGTGTAACATAGATCGAATGGTATTGTGCATTCTTACAGAGAGCTAGGTCCGCGTGTTGCGTGATTGTCGTGATGCGCTAACTATAAAGATGGCAGCACGGTGCTCACTGTTCTTCAAGAACACGGGCGGCAGACTTGGGAGAAAGAGCTAGAATTACGGTTCACTTGAACATCAAGAGGAAAGCCAGAGAGGACACGTTGAATGAAGACATTAATCCGAGATTGTACACAACGGAATACAGTGAGCACTAACGGAGCTACTCAGCAATGGGTACCCCAAGTCCGCATATCTCACTACAAACCCGCGCCTTCAGGAACCCACTTAGCAGTCCAGATCCTCAACCGCTTCCCCCAGATCAACATGGGGATTGTCAACAAGCCAAATACACCCATCAACATACCAAAGATGCCAAACGGCTCAGCAGCACCCTGATGCGTAACCCACTCGCCCACAAAGAACGTCCACGCAAAACTGATAATAGCCCTCACACACGTAACAGCAACGAAGCAGTCACCAGCGAGTACCCCATAGGATTCAATCAGGTAGTTGAAGCCAACGGAGGGCGCTTGCATGAGCCCAAGAGCGACGAGTCCGAAACCGAACTGAAGACCGACCCAGCCAGTAGGCGAGGGGTTCTGCGCTACGAAGCCGAAGATGAGAGCGCCGATTGTGGCGAGCGCGAGCGCGGGAAGTGCAGTAACGAGACGAGATTCGGGTTCTGAGAAGCCGTGGAGGTCTTTCTTTGCGAGGCGCTTGGTTGCGAAGTCGGCAATGAGGTAGGTGTATACCTGAGTGTATGTATTAGCAAACGTTAACGCTGATGGTAGGATTGTAGGGACTTACGCATCCGAGAAGAGCGCCGAAGATACCGCCGATGTTGATTAGTCCGACGTTCTTTCCCCATAGATAAGGCGGTGCGGCAACGAGTTGAGGTCCCACACTCGACATGGTGACGATGAGGCCAACGAGTCCGGCGTACCATCCTGATACTAGCCAAACACCTGGTAGTCTGAGGGTCTTGTACGGAGCGAGAAAGTTTTGCACGAGGCCGGGGCGGTAGGACCAGAGTCGAAGAGACTTGGCGTATGAGTAAGACGGGTAAGAAGACGGGGAAGCGGCATCTGCGACGACGACTCGCTCCTTGGTCTCGACGGTTTGCTTGTCGGGGTCGTCGGAGAAAGTGACGGTGGTGGATTTGCGGTCGTAGAGGGTTTCGGCTTGGAAGAATAGGCACAGGACGAATGTGATGGCGGAGAGGAGCACGTTCATCCAGTGGAGCCAGGAAAGACCCATGTCGGCGACGATATAGCCACCTGCGACGGCGCCTACGAGGGAGCCGAAGGACAACATGACTGTGTAGATGGCCTGTGAGTTCTGTCAGACCCGTTCCACTCGAAGTATTTGGGAAAGAGACTTACCAAAGCGCGTCCACGCTGGTGCACGAAGAATATCTCGCCAACAACATCCGGGCTCACAGCATCAGCCGGACCACCTCCAATACCCATGAAGATCCTCGCAGCCACCAGACTGTTGAAGCTAGTCGCAAGACCAGCCCACATACTCGAGAAGACCAGGAGCAACAAGCTGCCCAGAACAACCGGACGGCGCCCGAACGTGTTCGCCAACGGCACCCACCACAGGTTCGACGCGCCTAGCATGAGAATGTTACACGCGATGAAGTACGTCAACTGTGAGAACGTCTTCGGCGGAAAGCCAAACACGCCCGTGGACGCGTAGATGGGCAATGCGCTCGAGATGGAGGCACTGGTGAAGTTCACAACGAACGGATGTATCGACATGACGGCCAGAACTGCTATCTTGCGCCACATGGGCAGGTTGAGAGGATCCGCTGGGTCGGCGGATGGCTGAGGCACGAGGCGGATTTCATCGTGACCTGTTTGCGATGCTGTCCATTCGAGATGTTCTGATGGTAGCTTCGTTAGCAAGAAAGACGTTCAGGAAATTTGGTGACATCTTACCAACGAGCGTCGCGGTTCCTGGCGGTCGGGCATTCCTCACCTCCTCTTTCGAGATGCCGAACGCCTGTTTTAGAGAAGCCATCGCAATAATCAGTAGCAGCCTGATGAATCAAAAGCCAAGCCAGAGAGTCGCGGAGATGATTCTGCGATGCCAACAATATCCAACAACAGTGATGTTTATGGCCATAGTCCTCCAATCTAAATAGACCGCACGGTCGAACCGTTGAACAACACGCCTTTGCAAGGCATGTCGGTGTGTTACGCCTGGCATCTCGCCGTCGACAAATCAGACAGGCTTCAAAACGCCTCACAACACTCTCATTGGACGCTTGGACTCCGTCGCATCCCCAGTCTGGCTTGCCCATGGGGTAAGTCGGAATGTGGAGGCGACCAAGACCATTCTGGATACAGCCAAGATTTGCGGGGTTTGCATCTAGAGAAAGCTAGTTGCAGCGGATTGCGCAAGGGAGAAGTTAGTATGACGGCGCGAGATCGAGTTTGTAATCCTTGGATCTGACATTTTCCGGCTGTGCGTTGGAAGGATGCAGCGAGATGCATTGGCATGTGGAGAACGGGTGGGGAACGTGCGCGGCTTTGCTGCATGTGTACTGTGACAGTATTGCCTTGGCGTGATGAGCAAGCATTGGGCATATACGTGCATCGAGAGAACCGTGCAGAGTGCTGGGCTCGAGGTCGGCACAAAGTGTTGATGGTCTTGATCGCTATTCAAAGGCTTGAAGCAAGTGTCGTCCACTCACATGGCCTGGCTCTCGCGCGTTGAATTAAACCCAACGTCTCATGGATGGGATACGATTATTACCAAATGTTGATGAAGTGTAGCAATGCGCCGGCGCTTCATGAAATCCTACATATAGTCGTACATGCGAGTCCAAATTACCACCATAAATGCTGACATGCTCATTTGATGGCAGATCGCAAGCCTTCCAGCAATTGCACCAAGTTGCCGACCAGCGGCGGAGAAGGTTCTGACGCGTCATGGTGCGCTCGAAGCAGTTGTGTCAAACCGTCTATGACCCCACAAACATCGCTTAGTTGGGTAGGGTGTTGTGATCCGGAGTTCTTGATCGCTGGTATACCGCGATCTAGGGTGATGAACTTGCGGGCGCTCAGCGAGTCGTCCCCATTGAGCACAACAGCCGTGTCAATCTGTTCGGTTGTTACAGATCGTCTGAGAAAGCCATAGACCCATAGTATGAGCCCCGCATGATACACAGCGATGGCGTTGAAGTTACTGAGCAGAGCTTTTGGTAGCACCTCAGCGGCGCGCAGGATCTGACCAGCGTGCCACAGCGCTTGACGCGCTGAGGGAGTCTTTGCCCAGTCTCGAAGGCCGGGATACGCACTGCGTGCTTCTTCTTGCCCTTCGATACCCGCAAAGAGCTGAATGTCATCGAGAGGTGCGTTGAGATGAACTAGCAACATCTCCAGTGTTATCTCAACACTCTTAGTCATGGGAGGTGTGCTGAGCCTGAAATCTTCCAGCTGCTTTGTGAGCTCTTGGTAGCGCGATGACAGAATGAGGCTGTTGGTTGACAGCGACTGTGACCTAGATGTCAAGGCGCACATTTGACGATATTCCCATATTGGACCCCACATTAGGTAAAGATAAGTCGAACTGGCATAGTCGTGTTGAGTGAGGTGCTCCAGATCAAGTAGGCATTCAGTCGCTGATGGTCGCTTCACAGTTGCCGATGCGTTATCCAGGTACGCCATCTTCCAGTTTGCCGCGGATTTGGCTTGCCATAATGAGTTCGGACTCGGCAAGGGTAATTGCATCTCCGCGTAGGAAAGCAGTGGTGGCTTAAGCAATGCCATCGACGACTGCCGATCGAACTCGAAGGCGCGATGAACCAAGCGAAGAAAGGACTCTTGGTTAACCCAACTCAGCCATTTGTCTTCCAAAACAGAGCCTTGATCGTCAGGAGACGGACTAATCTCCTTCCAAGTCGAACGACGAAACCGACCACCACGGCGAAGCATCGTCATCAGCGGCTGGAGAAAGCTCTCTGCAATCTCCATCTTCCGGCTGATGCCACTCCACATGCCAACTTTGAGTTGCAGCAGGAACGTCTGCAGATGTTGAAGATCCCTGATAGCTGTGTTGTCCTCTTCAAATGATTTCGACTGCCCTAACCTGGAAGCCTCATGTAGAGCGTAACCCAGCTTTCGCAAGGATATGTCGGGAAGAGTGGCAGCTCCAGCAGACACGACAGAAGCAAGCAACTCCGGGTTCAACTTTGAAGGTGAGAACGTGGGAAGGTGAAACCACGTTGGCGCGTCTATCGATGGCGAAGAGAGGAAATACTGAATCAGGCCGTCCAGTAGTTCCATGCTAGGAAATGCCGATGCAATACGTTTGACGTTCTCTCGGCTACATGTGTCGAGAACCAGAGCCATCAACCGGTCGCGGCTGGCACGTGGTAGTCTAGAAGTAACGTCAGTATAGGTGTATTGTACGCCATGATCGCTGAGTTAGACCTACTTCTCTGCCACAACGCGGCGGTGTGTGAAGTTTGATCGTCTATAACTGTCCTTCTCTGTATCCGGGACAGCCAAGTTGACTTGTTCCGCAGTGGGGTTCCTGGAACGTTGTGGAAGATAACGCCAGATGCTCTGCTTGAAGGCTTCCGCCCTTACTGGCGCGGTATCCGTCTCGGGTGGGGGTTGCTCAGCGCCATGGGCGTCCGTAGATGGTGTATCAGCAGCGAACGGGACCTGGAAGTTGTATTGGTCAAGGAGACCGAGATCGAGGTCGGTCAAGCCAACATCTAGATCGAAACTGAGGTCCATGATACCTCGTGGAGTGGCCTGGCCAGAGAGGAAGGCTTCAAACGGCGGCATGCTGCGGAAGTAGTCGGGCAAGAAAGGATTGTGCCCTGGTGTGCTATCAAAGTGCGCAATCGAATTATCGAAGAAAGGCATAGATGCGCTCGGGTCTTCGTAATTTTGGTTCATCGCGACAAGGCCGCCGCCGTTGTTGGGTGGTGGTGGCTGCATGTCGCCCATGCCTGCTGTCCTTGTCTCGAGGTCGCCAGAAGCTATGGAGTGTCGGTGCATTGTATTCGCGTCGGTAACGACTAGGGTCGCGTGGTTGTGAAATGGCTCTGGAGTCTCTGAGGTCGTCGATGCAGATGTATTGACGCTGCCGCCGTGAGCCGGCAGCGATGAGGGGTAATCGAAGCCATTCGACAAATCGAGCAGATCCTGCGCCGCATGAACTGCATCAATCTCATGTATGTCGTTTTCGTCTGTAACCGGGGTTTCAGGCACCCGACAGGGCATCTTCTTCTTCTTGCATCGACTGCATGGCTTCTCGTCTTCGCAGCGGAGATGGCTTTGAGAGCAAGCTTCACAGGCCTGAACGACTCTGGTGTCGCGAGCGATCTCGCGCTTTTGTCGCTTGCTTGCAGGCTCTGTGTCGTGATTTGTTACATGTCTTTTGAGTAGATCTCTGCGACATGTCAGCGGAGTATCACTTTTGCATGCAATAAAGCACTCACATTCGCGCAAAGCCTTTAGAGCATACGGGGCAGATGTAAGGCTTAGATTTTGTATCTGTCGGTGCTGGATTAGCATGGAATGGGACATGGTGAACATCATATGCGCACAAGATGCTAACGACGCGAAGAAGCAGTTCTTTCGGCGCGAGTCAACAACGCGAACGCGTCTGACGCCATTATGACGGCCAACTAGCTTCAATTGCAAGTAGTCAGGCACACATCTGACGGGACCACATTGTTCACTAATTCTAAAAGCACTTACGCGCCCTCACGTGTCTCGTAAGGTGATCCGCTCTCGTGAAGGACCGTTTGCAGGTGCTACACTGGAATAGGCGTGGTGGTTCGGCTTCTGCACTGGCTAGCTGGACATTTGCTGATGTCGGGGCAGTCTGCATGCTGAGGTGCTATCGGGTGGCTTCGAAGAACGATGGCATCGGGACGGAGGGACAGAGGAAAGTGGAGGGAAGCTGGAGATAAGGTTGTGGGTGGAGAGGAATGCGGAGATCGACAGGACACGGGCGTGCCTTCTTCCCCTCGGCTAGACGCTCGGCCTCTCCTCCAACCCTCCCCACATCACGACTTTTGCCGCCGTAAGCACCTGGGATTACCTATACAGCGTTGATCATAATGGGTAAAGCTTCCAGTGAAGCCGCGTGTTGGACACGATGTTTGCCAATTTGGCCGTGTAATATCAATATCGCAGCAACGCCGCCACGACCTCGTAACACGGACATCTAACCTGATCATCTACTATCTTGGACATCCCTTCCAACTCAGGCTTCGGCTGAAACAACACATCACAATGGCTCCACCCGTACACTTCTTCTCCCATGGCTCAACAATGATGCTGGGCGAGGAGTCGCAGTCCGCCACCTACTGGAACGCTTGCGGCGACGAAGCCCTCTCCCACGGCTTCAAAGGCGTGATTATGATGGGCGCGCATTGGGACGCCCGCGGCGTGAACCGCATCGACGTAGCCATGAACCCCAAGCCCATCAAATCCCCCGTCGCATACGTCCACCCCCGCAAATACAAAGACTACGAGCTCGTCCCCGATCTCGAGAGCGGGAAGAAGTGCATAGCAGCGCTGCGGGAAAAGGGCATCGATGCGCGACCAAACGAGACCTTCGACTGGATCCACGACACATATCTGATTCTCATTCGGATGTTCCCTGAGAAATGCCCACCGACCACGATCATCAGTATGAACTCGCGATTCGACCCGCATCTGCACGCGCGTGTGGGTAATATCTTGGCCAAGTTCCGAGACGAGGGCTACCTGATTATCGGCACGGGTGGCGCGGTGCACAACCTGTACAGGAACCACTGGGCACAGATGCTGAGATACTCGGACAACTTTGCCCAGCCCTACCCACCAGAGGCCCCGATGTTGGAGTTCCGTCAGAGTGTTGAGGACGTCTTTGTTCGCTGCTGCAGGAAGGATGCGAAGAAGGGTAGTCTGACTCGTGGTATTACAAGGTTGATGAAACATCCCATGTTCAGGGATGCGCATGCCACGGACGATCATTATATGGCGGCGTGCTTTGTGGCTGGGGTGGTTGACGGGAGCAAGAGGGACGGCGACGAGTGTGTGCTTGGTGCCGAGGATTGGGAGTTGGTGAACATGTGCAACAGCCAGTTTACTGTCGGAAGATGGGAGTAGAGATTTTGAGTAGTACATATATCCAATTCCTTTTCGTTGCATCTATGACTATCGCACGACATTGTCACTCCCAAGAAATGTGCGATTTCACATCTTGCCATACTTAAGACTTGAATCATCGTTATTCTTCATGATCGGTGTCTCGCAATGGGTGGCTGTGCTTATGCGACTCAGGATGAACACATGAGACTGCGGTAATGGTAAAGACAAGTTGATGTGACGATATCTGAAGTTTGATTCCAACAACATATCTAATGATCTATTTGGGCGGCACAATAGGCAGTGTGACGTAGTTCACAGCCTTCTCGCTAAAATGCAAATGGTTCCATCCCGCAAACTTCTCCTCGCTCCTGTCCTCAGGATGGTTGTGTTGGAAAATACCACTTCCTTGCGTATCACCGCTGCTAACCTCAAACACGATCTTGCCACCCTTCTCAACAATGACGTTGGTCGGCCAGACCTCCACATCCACGGCGTATACGTCGCCGGGTATGACGGGCTGCACATCAGTGCTGAAGTAGTCTCTCCATGGGAGGTATTCGCGGTGCTTCGGGTGGTCTGGGTTGGTCTTGCGGAAGCTGACGCGCAGCCAGCCCTTGGCGAGGGGAATGGGGTCGCCTGCGGTACCGGTGTAGTAGACTTCTTTGCCTTCGGGCGAGATGTAGCGTAGTGTGAGGAAGAGGTCGATATCGGAAGGCGTTACGCCGTTGGAGTGAGCCGAGAGTGAGACGTTCAGGTGTGCGACGATGTGACCTGTGATCTCAGTCTCCTCCTCGAATGGCGCGGTAGTGAACTGGAGAAGCTTGGGGTTGTCAAGGGTGCCGAGCGCCTCGTATGATAGCTTCTGCGGCCTGTTGGTGATGGGCTGGACTTGCGTCAAAGTTTGGGATGGCGCCAGGTAGAACTTCGAATAACGAGTTCGTGCAATGGGCCACTCGTTCTCCGTTCGTCTCTCATACACCTTTTCTTTCTCCGCGTCGTTGAAGCCAATGTCGCCTTTGCGCAGGACCATGTCAACAGGAGGAAGCTTGCCCTTGACCGACCACCCAACTCTGTCATCGCCCTTGAGGAAAGCATCGAGGAAGCTTCGCTGTATCTCTACTTCTTCCTTGTAGTAGAATGGCAAGTCGTGCCTTCCCGTGATCATTCGTAGGTACTTGAACTCAGAACCGGCATGTGCGTAGCCTTCGATGTTTCCACGGAGATGGAGCAGAATACCGCCCCAGTTACCGACAGAGAGGAGCGGCACTTCAATGTCGCTCATGTCGTACTCTTTGCTTGCATAGTATAGTTCGTCGCGGCATTTGAACTTGGCGGTATCGATTGTCTGGTCTTGTCGGTTCTTCGCGCGCACTTCTTCTGAGAGGTTACCGTCGACGGTGTCTGGTCCCCAGTTGCGCTCGGCGCGACCTGGGCGACCATACTGGTTGGTGATGACCTGGCGATTCCTGGTCAATGTCAAGTTAGCATCCGATACATAGCAGGTTACGAGGAATACTTACCACCAGAAATCGATGAACTTGTTGCTCAAGATACCTCCGTGACGGCATCGATCACGGTAGTAATCGCTCATGCCCTCCCATGGAATGACTGCAGCGAGTCCCTTGGGCTTGCGCGCTGCCACGCGCCACTGGGATCCAGCATAGTAGCTGATACCGAGTAGGCCGACCTTTCCAGACGACCATGGCTGCTCAGCGGCCCACTCGACGACATCGAAGAAAGCCTCGCTTGTTCCTCGCGACATGGTGTCTAGAAAGCCTGGAGACTGGCCCAAGCCACGTTCGTCGGCGCGCACAATGATGTAGTCATGCTTCGTCCAGAAACCTGGGTCTGGCGTCTCCCATGCTGAGTGATCAGAATGATGGTCGGGGTTGACTTCTGCGAACGACTTCCCGTGAAAGCTGAAGGTGTTAGCTAATGCACGGCCGAGAACGTCCATTTTTACTTACTCCTTGTAGTGGATATCCTTTCCATATGGTCCGTACGTCACCAGCACAGGAAGCTTCGTGCCCTCTTTCGTGGACTTTGGCCGGTACACGTTGCATCGGATGATGCCTTTTGAGGATGTCTTCAGCGGCACTGCGACATTCTGCTCGTACAGGTAGGGAAACGACGACTCGTCGATCGAGTAAGCATCTTTGATTTCTAGCTGATCAGACATTTTGTGTATTTGGTACTTAGGAAGAAAGAAACATACCTCATCCAGCATTTGGATATATACATCATATTGCGACGCGTAGTGGATGCTTGTGCCGACAACGCGCCGCTGGTAAGGTGCGGCGGCAGTGTTCGAGGGGCACATTCGGAATGTGGAGGTGCCACCCTTCAATTGGCGCGTTACCTACAGACACGCGAACAGGTGGAACACGTCTTCTTACAGACCCAACATCTGGCACCCGGTCTGAACTCGTACGAGCTCTTCACCTTTTGTTGCCTTGGGATAATTAATCAGCCGGCGTCAGGCTAGCTTTCGTTATCTGCACTAGCAATGCCATTCCAGCTTGGGCCATGAAGGACAATCGTATGCTACCCTCACACGATGTCAGAAAACATTTGGTTGAAGCTACATACGACACAGCACGATTCAGAGCAAGATGGTGTATATGCGCGATGATGCGATGGCTTCATGTATCTATATGTAGTACTGCGACTACGACGATGCTGGAACACCCTGCATGTTTCCGTAGTCCTCCTTCAGAATCTCACCACCGACCTCTACTGGTTTGCATTCTTGTAGCACATACATCATGCGTCCCCAAGATGTGGTGCTGGTGTTTCTCCAAGCGTGCATTGTGCCCCTTTGAATTGCGACGTCTCCCCTCTTCATCAACCTTGTCTCCCCCGAATCCAGCACCAACTCCATCTCACCTTCCAGCACGACACCGTAGTCAAGAGAGACTGTGCGATGCATAGGTGAAAGATGACCAGGTGCTACGTCTACAAAGCGTAGCACTGTTCCTCCCCCAACGACCAGACCTGGAGATGACTCGAGGTAAGGCTTGTAAACCGCGAGGTCGGCGTCTTTGTTCAGATCGACGGGAAATCCCTTGGTAACGTACCCAAGCCGAAAGTCGGCATTGGGAATGTGGTCGACTTTGGCTTCTTCTGGGACTGCGTCGGAGAATATGGCTTTCTTGGTGGTGGGATCGTGGGTTGTGATGAAGCGGTTAACCTTTGGAAGGTCATTAACGACTTGAGGTTTGGAGGCCATGTTTGGAGGTAATCTGGGAGTATAGAGAGCTAACTGAGCGTGAAGACTTTTGAATTATAGTGTACGAATACAGACACTTCGTGTAGTTTGAAAGAAGATACAAGACCTGATGATCAAGAACATCCAAAACGCGTCGCGCGGGACCCGTCTACGGGTGAACTCATACACAGGCTCCCGATGTGGAGGGCGGAGACCCTGCGTCGTCCGCCATCTGCCGGCGCAGACTCGGTAAATCCCGTGCGGGGTCCTGCATAGTACACAAGCTTCTCCAACTGTTTTGAATAGAGCTGTTGGATGTGAATA